CCTGCAATTGTTGCTCCATGCAGGTCTAGATGAAGCTGAGGCTAGGCATTAGAACCAGAAACCTTTTCTCCAGTGCTCACAGTGATTGATAGAGTTGCTGTTTCCTAGCACAGTGAGTGATCCTCCACTGCTCTCAGTCCAGATGCAAAAGTGAAGAGCTAAGGCTTGGAAACAAGGAAAGGAACAGAACAAACCAAGGAAGCTTGGCAAATTTGTATGAGGGGATGGAAGAATCAGGGGAAAAGGACAAATTTCACAGAAGAGAGAAGCTGTAACTAAGAAATGGGGACAATATACTTTGAGTAGAATAAGAGGAAAATGAACTGGAAAAGACTTGAAATCCAGGGAGGAGATTGGACACTCATGAAGAGTTGAGAAGATGCAGGGAAGGAGGGAGTGGAAGGGAGGACAAGACTGGGACTCAGGAACCAGAACACAGCAAAATAGCCACTACTACAAGACACACACATACACACACACACAAAAAAAACCAACAAAAACCCCACAAAACCAGAAATAAGATCAAGACCAAGAGAGAGAACCTGGAGAATCTGAGACATTGTGAGTTATAGGAGAAAGACTGGAAATAAGTGGTTGTGGTGAAATGGCAGGAGAAGGGGCTTAGAGGAAGGGCTGTGAGAAAGGAGAGATACTGGATTTTTATCAGAGAGACATAGCTGGCAAGCTGATATTGGTGATCAAGGGGACTGGGACAAGATTGTCCCTCACCAGTTCTTTTCACAGCTCTCCAGTTTTTGGTTTGGGTTTGTGTGTGTGTGTGTGTGTGTGTGTGTGTGTGTGTTCGGGTTTGTTGCGGTTTTTTTTACAGCAGCTTTTGTTGTGAAATTTCCAGCTACCCTCCTGATTTCTGTGCAGCCTGAGCACTTAGAGGTGTATAGAGAGCTAATCTGTGCATTAAAAGGGCAGGCAAAGGTTGTAAGAGCAAGCAGAAAGGTGTAATTACTTTCCTGTGGTCCTGCAGCAGGTTAGTATCAAAATCAGGAACAGAATTCCGATTCCTCCTCCCAGCTCCAGTGCCCAGTTCCCCAGACCCTGCCGCCTTCTTCCACCTCCCTGCAGCATACAAACCAGACTGACTGACAAGACAGGTAACGCTCCAGTAAAACACAGACCCATGGAAGGAGGCATAAACTCCTCTGCCTGCAGTCTGAACTGAAGGGACAAAAGGCATCTCTGGTTCACATGTCGTGTAGCCATGGTTATTGCAAGCTCTGCATCTGAGCTAATAACCTATGCTTAGAAGAAGAAAATGGTAGCTTGACAACATCACCCTAATGGGGCTGTAAGAACTGAGCTGTCTTGCATCTGCGCAGCTTGGAGCACTAGCAGAGCAATCTATTTCTATCCAGAAAGACATATGTCTCTGAAAAACACTGTGCCTCTTGCAATTACGCATCTCCATTGCAATGAGGATTTGTAAGGCCCAGGGTCCACTACATCTGTCATCTTTTCCCCCTACTTCATTTGGCTCACAACATACCATCTAAAGCACGGCTAACTGGGTATTTCCGACATAGCTATAGCAAACGAATGAATTCTTCATTTATGCTGTGATCATGAAAAGCTCTACAAGAGTAAGCTAGGCTTTAAAAAACAGTTACCAACAAATTAATGAACATTAATTAATTAATTAACAATTCATTAACAATTTTTTATATCTGAAAAAATTACATCTAGCTACACTTGGTTTCTCTTTCTTCTAAGAAACAATTTCTCTACTTTGTTTTCAGCTTCGCAAAAAGCGTTACAATTAAACAACTAATAAAGAGGAAATCGGCAGCAGTTGCTACAAATAAATTCTGAGAACTGACAATGCAGATGAAAAATCTTGTCTTTCTGTGTGGACGTATGCAGGAATAACACTAAATGAAATAGCTGCAGGTTGGGGGACTGAAAGTAGAAGTAACTGATAGAAAATGTATGCTTTGCTGGAACACCTTCCAAATCCTGGATGCTTGCAAGCTTCTGCTGCCATCAACAACAACTTCTATTTGTCATGGAATATATCACAACTATTTTTTTCAAAAGCTCCAAACCCAGGAAGCAAACAGCAACTCTCTATTAATGGACTAGTACGTTCACAAGTCTATATTCACCCAAATGTTTACTGGAGAACTCTAGATTTGTCTCTACACGAACACATCTGCTAGCGTTTATCTTTTATACATGTTTCCAGTCAAGTTTACCACGCTTTTTAGAACAATATAGAATCCACACAGAGAGAACTTTGGCTTTGGTCCTGCTCTAGAGACTACCTAAGAAAAAATTATGCTTCTGCCTCCAACATTTTCTATTAAGTCTTTTAACCATTCTCTGCTATCTCACACTGTTCATTATAAAAGGAGAACAAATTTCCCATGGCAGTTATACATAAATAGATTTTAACAACAATGGAAAGGTTTGTGGTTTTGCAGTACCTTTGATGACATAAAAGTACAGAAATCAGTCATTACATACTCTGAGCCCTGTTGTTATGCTGTAAAATAAAAATGCTTCCTTGTCTTTGGAGATTAACTCTCCCATTAATTCTAGGCTCAGTAAAGTGAAGATCACAATCCAGACAAAAGGCCTTGATTCTGTGTTTCTATTTATGCTGAGTAGAACTTCCTTAAGTTATAAGGGCTGTACTGAAACGAGAAAGGCTTGTAAACCCATGAAACTAGAGGAAATAACTCACAAGCAAATAGAAAATTAACATTACGACTCCCTGCCAATGACATTTAAGATGCATGAAATATTCGATTGCCAGAGAAGAAGAAAAGGCATTTGTCACAGAAAAATTCTAATGCACTTCAGACTGCTTTGGGTTGTTTTCATTGTTGTTTCATGTTAACATTCTTATAGCTTCTTCACAGATTCTAAGTTTCAAGTCTGTAAGAATTAGTATTCTTCACCAGCATCCTTCCATCAGTCCCCCCAGTCATGGCATGCTTGCAAAGTGTGTAATAATTTGGCTTCACTTCAAACTTGCTTTTCTCTGACTTGCACTTCCTCAACCATCCTCCAACTTCCCCCATGCTGTGCTCAAAGTCCTAGCCTGAAAAACAGCCTTCTCCTACTGAAAGGCACTCAGCAGCCTGTTCGAAATACATAAATGAAAACTCCTGCCTAATTATGATGACACATATAATGACTGGGCATGGCAGTTCTCCTCTCCAGTTCAGTATAAGGATGTATTTCTGACTCTTTGTCCACTCCACCTCTGCTCTGGCGTAAAGTCTTACTGCATTTTTCCATTTTGGCTCAGTGCCCCTGATCTGTGCCAGTGGGAATCACCCATCTGTTTCAGCTTCATGAAAACAGTACGGTGTAGAAGAGCCCCTAGCAAAAACTTGACACTCTCCTTTCTCCTGGAGTCTCCAGCATCCTTCCACTGATACCAACAGCAAAGACAGAAAGGGGAAAACACCTAACCCAAAGAAAGAAGTGGAGAGCAGCGTGAGAGCCACAGAACCATAGTTCAGCATAGTGGGCCAGAGGGAAGAATCAGGGTAAGGAGAAAGTGACTACTGATGACAGAGACAAAGAAGCCTATTTATTGGGTTAATTTCCTGCAGGTACACAGCTCCCAAAGGACATAAGCTATTAAATTGCCACTGCACTTCATTGTAATCCGAAGACGCATATGAAGCAGCAAGGCAAAAGAAGCTTACAGTGGTGCAACCTACCAGAGGGTAGGAGGAAAGGATCCAGAAATGGGAATCTACAAGAAAGTTGAGTCTGAATGGACAAGAAAAATGAAAAATTTGGAGTAAAGCCAAGCTTAACAACAAGCTGTAAGGATAATTGCAGAAAGATCATGCTCTCATAAAGAAGATGGTCCTGGAAACCGAGTTGCATTTGATGGCAGAAGCCAGAGTGAAAACGGAAGAAGAAAGTCTCAGGCAGAGGGGAAGGAAGCTGAATAAGTTCAGATTTCGTGCCCTTTTCAAATCTGCAATTATCTGGAAAAGCAGCAGAAGGTGGGAAAAAGCCACCTGTTTATCCTCTACTAACATGTTTGAAATTCAGTTCTTGTAAAGAAAACATATGAGTATTTTTAATACTACATCACTTAAAGTAAGCACTTGCAGTTCCTAAAAATACTGTAACTTATCATACAACTGAAAACTCCCCGCCTTTCTTAACAACTGAAATACATCTCTTCTGTTTCATACAAGATCAAAGTGGACATTGGCATTCCTGCTAGGGAATACTACTAAAAGTGAAAATCAGTGGCATTCACTGAATTTTAAACAGTGAACTGGAGAGCTAAAATCTGTTCTGAGAAGTCATTCTTAGTCAACAGTTTCTCTTTTTATTGCATGCTTTGTTATCTCTGCCGGCCAAGCTATTACTGCTGTAATACAATTTTCTGCTTACTTAATGGCACAGTATCTTGCATCTATATAATGGTGAATGCCGTAATTTTGAAGATGAATTAGATATAATGTAAAATTATGCTCAGACTGAAAGGCCAGGTAGAGTCTCTCACTTCCCAATACTCCAAAGAGCATGACTGAACAAGATGGGGAGGTGGCTAGATCCCCAGCCTCAGTGTGCCTACTAGTCCCTAGTAGTAGTTAGCAAGGGAAAAATACTGGTCTTAGTAAAAACATGTGGGGAACATCATCTGCAAAGTTAGATGCCCCTGACTCCCTCCAGCACTCTTCCTGCATGTATCTTAAGGTAAGTAGAATGCCTCAAAGCCTCTGAACTCTGTTACCATCAGTTCCACATTTCCCTCCTTGTATAGGAAAAACAAAACCATAGTTTAGTTTCCATTTGGCCTAGGAAACACCAAATATTTTAGTTTGCTCTCAGCTTCCCAATCACCAAGCTGTACTTCAGCACTCTTTACAGCTTTTAGCTTTTGCCTGCTGTATTTTGTTGCCGTATTTTTGCCCCCAAAACAAGTTATAGGAAGAAAAACAGTTAGTTCAGCAACAAGAATTTGAGAACTTCAAATACTTTGTGTAGAAGCAAAAAGCAACACTAACCTCTTTCATTTTTTCCAGTTCATTCTGTAGTGCTTGTTTGGCAATTTCAACTTCTATAAGCTGCTGTCTTAATTTTTCATTTTCATCTTCTGTTACAGTACGTTTTTCTTCCACGTTTTCTAACTCATGATGAAGTCTCACCGATACATCTTTCGCAACCTAAATGAAATGGTATTTCAAAAGAAAGATTAAAAAAAAAAGAATTACTGCTGCAATTCTTAGTGCCTAAGCAAGCACTTAGAGGTTAATTCTGGATGTTTTGATGGAAGCGGTATGTAAGGAAACATGTAGACAAGGACATCTACAGACAGAATTCTAAATTATTCCAAATTCAAGCCAATTCCTTCCAAAAAATGGTACACTATTCCTATGGACTTCACTGGGGACCACATTAGACACTAAACCCCAACTCCTTCTTAGGTTTTGTTATGTCAACGGTGCAACTGGACCTTCATTATTCCTGGAGACAGTGCAGCATCTATTTTCTCTCAACCACTGCCAGCTAATATTTTTCAACGCACTAAGGCATATGCCCTTCCAACACTCGACATGCAGAAGCATCTAAAAGCAAGGCCTACCTTCTCCAGGCCTTCCCTACCTGTGCCTTGTATAGGAGCACAAATGGACACATCTTTATTTTGACCCTGCTAGTTTCTCTCTCCTTCATGGACAGTTAATCTAAATATCTGGTATGTACTACTATTGGTTCATTTAAAGAGTAAAATATGAACAAACAACATTTTTACTGATGTTGTGTTCACGCAAATGATGTCCAATGATGGACATAAAATGAAAATGAACACTAAGGTTTTGGGGTTTGGGTTTGCTTTAATGCATTTTCACAGGAATAGCGTTAAAAGGCACATGCCAAGATGTAATTCCTCTTCTTCATGTGAAGTATTGAGGATTTTGCCATTCAAGCCACTAGGACTGTATTCTGTGAAACCACCAGAAACTATAATCATGCACCAAAAATATTTAAATATACACTAATCACGGTTATGATGGGGATTTAGACACATAGTTTGAAAAGCCTAATGTCCTGCTTTTTTTAGAACATTGGAAAGTATAATTGATCTTTCTTAGCATTAGCTAGGGGAGCTGAGAGCTATCCTTTATGGCTTTCACTAGAACGATCTTTATGCTTTTATGTCAAAGAACTCTCTTTGACATACTAAAACTCTAAAGAAAAAAATTATTTTAAGCAAGCAGTCTAGAAGAATCCGATCTATCAGAAAACAGCAGCAGCAAGTGACTCAGCCTCCCCTGACAAGAAACCCAGTGTGTGTGAATTACAGATACAACACTGCAGTGTAGCACAAGATCATTCAATAACCTCCCCCACAGCACACGCACTCAAGACACATAATGCCCAACAGAAAGAGCGAGTGGAGGGGAATTTCAATTATAACCATGCTCCGAAGAGACTGCAGGATGAGCTGAGAATCACACCACAGGGCTACAGCTTGATGTCTTTTCCTCCACTCGGTATTAAACTGCTCATCTTGTTGTCCAACCAAAGTAAGTGGAAAATCATGGGGGATATTTTTAACAGCATCCTATCAGAATCTGTCTTCAGTCCATAGATACAGTCTGACTCAGTAAATACAACCAAATAACAAAACCATTACTGGTAGTGATTTTTTGACACAAAATTTGGTGGAGTAGCAATTAAGGCAGGGAAATCCTACAGAGCATTCTAGATCACATGGGAAATGGGACTCATTTATGCAAGATGCATTTTAATACAGCTATATGCAAGACTGTATCTCTGAAGGATTAAGTCCCCTAATATATTACCCATGCAAAATAAACAATGTTATTTTGCTTAGAAATTCTTCAGAAGAGGCCTTGGATACACTACAGGGAACTGCACGAGTTACAGTTATGGTTAGCCAGCACCCGGAATTCAACTGGGCAGAAATTTGGCATTAGACATTCATCCCTACTCCAAAGCAGAACACATTCATGATCTGTGGAAACGCTTTGCAAAAACACTATTCCTTTCCAAAGAGTCAGTCGTATGGTTATTGGGAAAGACATGGGAGAAATCCTAGTTAAAGTGAGCCCTTTGTCCAGCTCAACCTAAGGCCTTAGCTGCTGTCTCCTCTATTGCAGAGAGCACCTCACCAGAGGTGCCCTCACCATTTGCCTCCCAGGCCCTGCGCATGTATGACTTGTTAATACAAAGCAACATTGAGCCAACAAAGAAATCAACTTTATAAGCTCTATAAGCTGGAATCACAATATTCACTTGGGACATGAAGGCTCACATTCAAATTCTGCCTGCAAAGGTGCGTGTCTCAACTATTCACCTAAGCATCCTTCTGAGTGTGCAAAACATCCCTCGTTTCGATCAGAAATTCCCCTGACAAAGGAGTTGTTTTGCTTCTGACCAGGAAGACACTATTTTGACAAAAGCCACGCGGACGGCTGTACTTACAGAACCGTCACAGCCACAACAGCAAACATGGGTTTGGAATACATACAGAAAAGGAATATCAAACAGAAATAGAGAGAAAGATATTAGCATTTTAAATGGCATTAGTGAGAAAATTACTGGAACATGTCTTGGACTGGTTTCTACAGTTTAATAAGAATGATGACAAGCTGGAAATTATTCAGAAAAGATGATCCAAGTCTGTAAACCAGGCCTGGGAATAGCAGACTCTCAACCCATTATACTGATCAGAAAGAAGTTTGAAAATTACCTTCTTCCTGATCATGTATTAAATTAGCATTTTCAACTGCAGTCCACAGAATCCAATGAGCCATAGTTAACTAGAGTCCTAGGCAGAAGTGTGGTCAATAAGCTCACATTTGCTAAAAGAGGTCTGAACTTCCATGAGAAATGGCAGGAGACCAGTCAACTGAAAAAGTTTAGGAGTCCTGATTCAGTAGCAGCCTTCACAAAGTCTAGTGGATGGAAGCAGAAATTAAACAACTTCCAACTAGCGCAAGAAAGGGGTTTTTTTTTCTGCAATTGGACCCATCTAGAATGGAAATTATGGATATTTTACCAATGGCAATCTTTAAACAAGGACTGAAGCTTTTCCTCAACAACAGGCTGTGGTTCATTCAGACATTACGGATGAAATACAGTTGATTACACGCTGAAATTTGATGGGTTGTGTCTATGGTTTCAGGGGGATGTGGAAAATCCTGGCTTCACTAAAGATAACAGCAGTTTTTTCACTGACACCAATGGAGTCAGGATCTTGTGTCGTGGCTCTGCAAGTATTCAATCTGCCAGTCCTCTGAAATCTTTACTATAGAGTACCATAATCCCCTCAAAGTCAGTGGGACTATTCGGTGAGGTTGGTGTAATTTTGCAGTGGCAGGGTATGTCTCGTGTTTGTCGTAAAAGATCCAAGACCTCTAGATCCTAATTTGTATTTGAGTTGCTTCTTGCACATTAACTTCACAAAAAATTATCGGACTAAAGCTGAAAATAGCCTACCTACGTACCGAAGGGCTTCTGTCACCGAGGTGAGCTTGGCCATTGCTATCCTGTGAGCTGCACTGGGTGCAGAGCGTACGACAGAACGGATGGAAATGCCTGAGTCATGAGGACCGAGAGCACGGCCGTGTCTCCGTCCGAGGTGCTCCCTCCCCTTGACACCTGCTCACGTCTGTACCTTGAGGTCCTGCTCCATGCTGCGCAGGAGCTCGCCGTCGATCTCGCCGGTCTGGGCGTAGCGCAGCCTCTTGCGCTCGGCCTTGCGCAGCCGGTACTGAAGGATCCGGCAGTTCTTGTTGGCTCGCTCCAGTTCGTGGCGCATTTCTTGAAGCTGACAAGCGTCCTCCTCGAAGAAACTGTCCCTCATCTCGTCCATCTCTGTCCTCAGCTCGTCTATCTCATTCTGGCACCGGGGCGAGAGGGGGACAAGGACGCAACAGGTGGGTCAAAAGCACAAATGCCAGCAGGTGGAGGGGAAGACGGCCAAAACGGAGCTCCTGCCCGCAGGGACGCACCAGCTAAACACAACCCAGCTCACGAAAAGCACCGCAAAGCAGCGGAGAAGTGCCGCCGCCCGCCCGCCCCACCACCGGGCCCTCTTCGCTCTGCCTGCAGCGCTAGTGCCGGCCGAGAGGGAGCCGGGGAAGCCTCCTCCCGGCGCGGGGGTGGGAGGCCGCCCGCTCCCGGTT